TCACTCCCTCCCACCTATGTGTTAGGTCAGAGAAAAGTTTCTGTCTCCAGGCCTGTTTGTGAACAGATCTGACGCTTTGTCAGGTTAAAGGGAGCAGTAGGCGGTGAAGGGTGTCAGAGGACCTCATGCCCAGAACTGGTCAAGGAGACCCTGCGAGTGGGGTCAGGCGCCCACCAGGCCATCATCTGGGTGGAAACTTGGGTTGGGGAGGAAGAAAAGGGAGTATAATGAAAAGGCCAAGTTTTTCTGAAGTTTCACCTTGTGTCCCCTTCCCAGATGGCCCCGCATCAGAAGTGCCCACGGAGGGTGAAGAGATCTTCTGCTGACCCTGCCCTCTGTCCCGGCCCGTGGCTGCCAGCTCCCCACTGTCCTGCCGTTCCTGGGTGTGCTCCCCTACCGTGGACGCCCATGCCAGGAGACCAGGGCCCTGGACCAGGAACAGATGGTCTCGAATGTCAGGGTGGGGTGGGAGCCCGGGGCTGGTGGCATTGGTGGCAGCCAACGGCTCCACTGAGGATGTTTCAGTGGTCCGGGCACTGGTTTGGGGCACGTCAGGAACTCCTAAAGGCTGAAAGAGGTTTCCAAATAAGGTCTGAAGTTATCCCTGCCTTTTATTTGGGGGACACAGCAGTCCGCCAAGCAGATAGTGGGACTTTGTCCGTGTGCGTACCGGTACCTGTCTGCATGGACACGTAGGGTCTGCCAGAAACGGGCACCCTCCGTGGCAGGCACCGGCTCGGCTCGGCAATGAAAGTGCTGCCTGGCCTGCTCAGGTAGCATGTGGGCACTTGGGGCTCCCCCGGTCCTCTGCGGCGGTTTTCCCAGAACCTTACCCCGTGCACACCTCACCCCTTTTTGCATGTATTTCTCATTTCATTTTGGAAGGGAGGGCGAACGTTTGTGAAAACCAGTGAGAGAAGGTGTGATGTGTTCAAAGAGCATATATATGTACATGATCTGCACCATCCTGATTTGGGGATTTCAGCTATTTAAAAAAAAAAAAAATACCTAATTTCAACATCCAATCCAAAGAAATCCTAATCTGGCTTCCTGTTTTTCCTGCATTGTGACACTTTTTGGTTGTCACTGACCCACAGCCTCCTGGCAACCTCCCAAGGGAAAAGCTACAGCTCCGGCAGCGAGGTTGTCCCCACCCCTGTTACCAGGACAACCGGCTGAGTAGGTTCAGGTGAAGGAGTTCAGCCCGTGTGCAGCAATTTCCACCAGTGTAGACCGAGGGAAGCACTGGCCCAGGTGTGGCTCAGAAACGTTTTCATTCTGTCTTGGGGGCCTCGGCAGAATTTGATCTCTTAAAACCTTCTTCCATTCTGAAGGTCTGTTGGTTGTTGTAGGTCACCCCTTGAAGGTGCCTCAAATGCTGCGTGGTCTTTCTTTGTCTTTTCCCCACCGTGGGTGATCCGTGTCTGCTCGAGGCTCGTCACCAGCTGGTTGGAGCAGGACAGTTCGTGGAGTTCCCTCTGAGGCCCATGTGCCTGCTGGATTCACTGCTTCCCTGCAGGGGGACAGCCTAGAAAAGTCTGTGCTTTCAGTGCACCCTTTGATTCCTGCTTAGTGCCCCTCAGGAGCATGGGTCTTGGGACATACTTGTTGGAAAAGCAAAATCTGTAACTTGGTGCTTGTTGATGAATTGCAAGCTGGCCTTGCAGATGGAGATATTTATCTTTCAGTTTATTTGAAAGAGGTCTGCTTTAAAATTTTTAGCTTAGATTTGTTTATTTATTTGTGTGTGTGTGTGTGTGTGTGTTAAGGGTAAACATACCGGCCCAACGGTTTCAGCTCTCCGATCCACGAGGAACTTGATGAGCCAGCAGTGCGGCTCACTCCTCAGTGTCTGTCCAAGTGCCTTGAGGGCCCAAAAGAAAATTAAGGGTTGGGGCAGGGGTCCGTGTCCTTCCCTCCTCCTACCCCACCTCCCTTCTTTGCTCTAGGGTTGTCTTCCTTGCTTGAGAGTCGAGAAACGCCACCTGTGGGTTACATTTGCCTCTTTCTGTCCTGGAGATCTAGCCTTCAGAAACAGACTCTCAGAACCAAACCAACTAATCTTTTGAGCTACAGCCCTGCCTGCCACGGTTCTCCTCCGGTCCACATGGAGCCCGGCTGGCTGTCCTCGTCCCCAACTCAGGTTCCCCTGTGGGGCTCCACGTTCCACCCCCCCCCCCCCCAGAAGCACTCTGCTGGGGGGAATGGCCCTGGCGGATGAAGCCTGCGTTCCTGCTCTGTGTCCACATAGGCCAGACCTCCCCATGTACTCCCTACAGAGTCGCCATGGACACTGGGCTTCTGTCCATTGCTGCCCAGCTCAATGGCGATTTGAAGGTGCCTTTTACTCCAAATCTGCTCGAAGGTTTAAGTTGTTTTGGCTGGTGTTTTTTCCAGACAGATTTCACCTGCCCCCACACCCCAGGAACTCCACTTGGTTGTGTTGTGGTTGGACCAGTGTGGAATCAGAATTGGAAAGTAGCTTCCTGCGTCCACCTGGCCTGCCCTCTCGCACAATGTGGTCTGCAGCACAGAGAGAACTGCTTCCTAAGACCTGTGCTCTGACGTGCCTTTCTCCTCTTTCCCCCGTGAAACTGAACTCCGGGGGACGTTGTTGTGCTTGCAGAACTGCCTGGATTGTTGCTGCTTGTGCTTGTGACCTGGAGAGCCGCTCTGGGGCCCGAGTCGTGAGCCCTCGTTTCCTGTGAGAAGGGGTTGTCTGCCAGGGTGGCTCCGACCCGGTGTTCCATTGTGTCCCCCTGGTAGGGTACCACACTTGTCCACCAGGCTCAAGAATGCAGGTGCCTGACGTTGCGTTTCAGTTTGGGGGGACAGATAGAGACAACCATCCAGAGTCCCCAGAGTCTAGTGAATTTCCTGGAAGGAGGCTGCATCCTTCTCAAAACTTCTATCATCTCGAAGCTGTCATCCCAGGTGGGTGACACGTGCACTTTAACTGCTCTCATCTGTCGGCTTCATTTTTGAGACAATCGGCTGTGTTCGTGGAGGCGGGGTGAAAACCTGCAGTTTGCCATAATTCAGCCTTTGCCAACATTCCACTCTCTACCCCCACGAGAGCTGTCTGTGGGGCAGAAGTCCTTATCAAGTTTGGGGGGGTTGTTTCGTTTTTTGAAAAGGTACGAATCCTACCTTTTTCCCTCTTACGTCTCAGGGTAGCACCACTGAAAGTTGTCCCTTCAAGAATGTTCTCCCTCATTATCTTGCCTAACCCCTGGTATCAGCACAAAATTGTAAGACCCATGGGGTTTGTTTTACCTTTATGGGGGGCAGGTGTGTGGGGGTTTGATAAAGCAGGTTTTGCCTTAAGTGAAGGGTGGAAAATCATACCTTAGAAGCCAGGACTCGGTCCAGGAATTGACGTTCACAGAAGTACTTGGTATTTCATCCCTTGGTCTCTAAAGTTGCTTTTCCGAAGCCCGTTCTTTCTTCCCGAGGACTTTGGTATTTGCACGGGGCTGCCGTCCACCCCGGTGTTGATGGGTGCACGGTTGTGCCCAGAGGGCAGCCAGGCCCCGCGCAGGGCTTGGAGAGCCTATTCTAGTGAGTGGGCTTCGGTGACCGTATACAGGGTGGTTTGGAGGGTACCCCAGACGGTGCTGGACTCCCGCCAGTGCTCGGACGCCCTTGGGATTTGGAAGCCCAGAAACATCCCTCAGCTTAGATGGTGGCAGTGGTTGAGAGAGATGTGTGGCCTGCCTGCCTTCCGTTGGGACGCACACGTGCTGGTCGCCGGTTCCCAGCCCAGCGCATCGTTCTCGCTGATCTGCAGACAAAGAGGAGGGTTGCGGTTTGTGTCTTGATTTTTCTTCCAGCATAGCCTAACATTCCTAGTCACCCAGGAGCTTTGGAATCTACCACCTGCTGGCCAGGTTTTAGAAAGTATTTTCATGCTGCCATAAAAGGAAAAAAAAAATAGGAAGGGGGAAAAAAAAGGCTTTTCTTTCGTTGTATCATCTAATTTAATTTGTGCAAAGATTGACAGGCCTTGAATTACTTCTCCATCTCGCTAAGGTTCAAAGCCGGGCAAACCCAACTGGCTAAAGTCCTCCGGCCACAGACCCTGACAACCTGCTCCACACACCCAGCCAAGCCCGGCCTGTGCTGGGGGCGCCTCGCTGCTGTCCAGCAGAGGGCGCTGCCCCCCAACCCGGCCTCTTCCCCCCCAGCCTGAGCTCTCCTGTCTCTTGCAGCCACCTGACAGGGAGCCGCCCGGTCAGCTCACCCGTGGTCACGGTTTAGCCTGTGGTTTTCTGTGTCCTTACCTGCCGGGGGCGCGGGGGGACGCCCAGATATGCAGGAGGCCGACCCCTGTACACCTTATACCTCTGCTTCTGTTGTTTTCAGATGCTATACGAACATTTCTATGCTAGATTCTTTGAAATACAAAGGGGTTAAAACCCAGATGCTGTATATTAATTTGTAATTATGTATAAAGTAAAACAGTTTTAAACTGTAAAAATTTTTTTTCAGTGTGTTTTCTGGGATTTTGCCACAACATACTGGCTTTGTATTTTATTTATCTTCCTTTCTAGTTATTGGCTTCAGACTCTCTTGTAAAGTCCCCTCCACCCTTTCAAAAAAATAAATGTCCCTTAAGTCTCAATTGTTGCTGTATTGTATTTCTCTGTGGGCTTCCTGGAGGGAGTGCCAAGATACTCTGGGCTCCTGGTAAAGGGGTACCCCCTACCCTACGGAGAGCCTTCTCCCCAGGGTGCCTGGATGGCTACTTTGGTTAAGCGTCCAAGTAATGCTCAATTTTGGCTCAGGTCATGATCTTACGGTTCATGAGTTCGAGCCCCATGTTGGGCTCTGTGCTGATGGTGCAGAGCCTTCTTGGAATTCTCTCTCTCTGTCCCTCCCCTGCTCATACTTCTTCTCTCAAAAAAAAAAAAAAAAAAAAACCTTCTCCCCAAAGGGAATTTGTGTTTCTAACCTATCTCTAGGAACAGAAGCTGGGAAGATTCCATAAGTGCTCAGTGGTTCCTCGGAGACATTTTCCTGGGGCCCAGAGGCAAAACCCCAGGGGGTAACTGACCAGCCCTGAAGTCATGGGGTTTGTGCCTGGAGTCAAAATTATTTCCAGTTAAATCAGTGCAGCAAAATTGCCCTCTGCTATAGATCTTACTCTGTAAAAAGTATTAGTTTGCCTGCCTTTGACAACTTTCTCCACCCTGTACCAGCCCCCAGGACGACTTGCAAGGACAGCAGCAGGACAGACTCCATGAAATGTAGGAAAGAAGCCGTATCAAAAACCGTAGGGAAGGGAGAGACACTGCCCGGAGCTACATAGACCACAGACATCCACGGGAGGGAGGGAAACAGACTGTCGCACCAGGGAGCCCACATGGGGAGGACAAGTCCCCATAACGTTTTGCTTTGAAGACGAGAAGGGCCTGAGCCCCCTCCCTTAAAGAGACAGCACAACAAATAGCCCACGGAGGTACAGTGTAGAGGGAGCAGTTTGAAACCGCCTGAGACAAACGGGAGAGGGAGAGTTATTATCTGAGTGTCTGCAGGAGGGGCAGAGATCACGGGGAGACTCATCCAGGAAGTCTCATCCACAAAGGAGCTGGCAGGTGCCATTTCCCTCCCCTGCCCCCAGCATCAACACACACACACACACACCTGCAGGAACCACCACACCGATAATTCATTAATTTGCTAAGACTCTACCTCACCTCCCCCTGCACTTGGGCAGACCCACCCCCTGCAGCCAGGCCTACCTCAGTCCTGGCGCTGCAGGCCCCTCCCCCAGAAGGCCCATGCCAGCCTTGCCGACGCTACGTCCTGCCCACACCCTCCGATATACTTGGCGGGAGCCCACCCAAAGCAGTGCCGCAAGCCTCACAGTGTGTAAGCAGCACGTACATGAGCCAGCACCACTCGGGAGACTCCTACCCCAGGGAGTGGGAAAGACAGCCACACACACGCGCACACACGCACAGACTGCAGCCCTAGCAGTGGGTGGGGGGCAGACATCTGGTCTGACTCAAGCCCACGGCAGCCAGTAGCAGCACGGGGACCAAACCCTGCCCACTGCAGGTGATTGAACTGAAAAGAGCCTCAGCCACAACAGCAGGGTGCATGCAACACACACAGGAGACACCCCGGAAGCACCAGGTCCTGGAGAAGAGGGGACATTGCACTGCGGGGCACCACAGGACCTCTTCCTTCACAAGGCCACTACTTTCAAGAGCAGGAGGTGTAGCTGACTTTCCTGACCCATAGAAACAGAGACTTAGACAAAATGAGGAAACAGAGGAGTTTGCCCCAAATGAAAGAACAGACAAGACCACAAGAGACCTAAGCGAAGCAGAGAAAAGTAATATGCCTGATAGAGAATTTAAAGTAATGATCATAGAGATACTCACAGGACTTAAGAGTGGAGGATCTCACTGAGGTCCTTAGCAAACAGAAAACATAAAAAAAGAACCAGAGATGAAGAACTCAATAAATGAACTTAAAACTCCACTAGATGGAATAAATAAACTAGAGGAATCAGAAGAACAGATCAGCATCCTGGAGGATTGTGATGGAAAGCAATCAAGCTGAGCAAGTGAGAAAAAAACAAAGTAAAACTAGACTTAAGGGATTCAGTGATTCCATCAAGCATAACGACATTCACATTTCTCGGGACCTAGAAGGACAAGACAGAGAATAGGGGTCAGAAAATTTACTTAAGTAACAGCTGGAAACTTCCCAAATCTGGGGAAGGAAACGTATCCAGATCCAGGAGGCACAGAGAGCCCCCCACAAAATCAACTCAAGGAGAGCCACACCAAAACATAACAGTAATTAAAATGACCAAAAGGAGTGATAAAGACCATGGTAAAAGCAACAAGAGAAAACAGTTACACACAATGGAAACTCTATTAGGCCATCTGCAGATTTTTCAGCAGAAACATTGGAGACTAGAAGGGAGTGGCATGATATATTCAAAGTACTAAAGGAAAAAAAATCTGCAGCCAAGAATATTCTAGCCATCAAGTCCATCATCCAAATAGGAGAGATAGAGTTTCTCAGACAAAAACTAAAGTAGTTCATGGCCAAAAAACCAGTCCGAAAGAAATATTAAAGAGGATTCTTTGAATGTAAAGGAAAGACCCTAAGTAGGAGTAAGAAAAGTAGGAAGCACAAAAGCAGTAAAAGTAAATATATCCATAAAAACCAGTCAAGGGACTCAAAATAAAAAGATGCAAAGTTATGACAGACACCATATACCTAAAATATGAGGGGGAGAGGAGTAAAGAATGGGTTCAAACTAAGTGGCCATCAACTTAATATAGACTGTTACATGCAGAAGGTACAAAGCTAATGGTAACCACAAATCAAAAACCACTAATAGATACGCAAAGAAATCCAAATATATCACTAAATAAAATCAGTAAACCATAAAAGAGAGCAAGACAGGGCCAAAGATAAAATACAAAAACTACCACAAGTAACAAAATGGCAATAAATATATATCAATAATTATTTTGAATATAAACGGATTCAACACTCCAATCAAAAGATACAGGGTAAGAGTAGATTTAAAAAAGACTCATCTATATGCTGCCTACAAAAGACTCATTTCAGACCTAAAGACATCTGCAGATTGAAAGGGGATAGGAGTGCGTGGGTGGCTCAGTTGGTTAAGTGTCCAACTCTTGATAGCTCAGGTCATGATCTCACAAGTTCATGGGTTCAAGCCCCATGTCGGCCTCCATGCTGACAGTGCAAAGCCTCCTTGGGATTCTCTCCCTCTCTTGCTGCTCCTCTCCCACTCATGCTCGCTCTCTTGCTCTCTCAAAATAAATAAATAAACTTAAAAAAAAAAAAAAGGGGGGATAGAGAGACATTGTTCATGCAAATGGATGTCAAAAGAAAGCCAGAGTAGCAATACTTAACATTGACAAAATAGACTTTAAAATAAAGGCTGTAACAAGACACAAAGAATGACACTATATAATCATAAAGGGAAGAATCCAACAAGAAGATACAATTGTAAATATTTATTCACACAACTTGGGAACACTCAAATGCATAAAACAGTTAATAACAAACATAAATGGAATAATTGATAGTATTATAATAACAGTAAAAGACTAACACCCCACTTATGTCAATGGACAGATCATCCAAACAGAAAATAAACAGAAGCCATGGCTTTGAATGACACACTGGACCAGACTGGATTTAACAGATATATTCAGAATATTCCATCCTAAAACAGCAGAATACACATTGTTTTCAAATGCACATGTAACATTCTCCAGAATAGGTCACATAGTAGGCCACAAAACAAGTCCCAACAAACTCAAAAAGTTCAGTCATACCATGCATCTTTTCTGACAACAGTGCTGTGAACTACAACCACACACACACACACACACACACACACATCTGGAAAGACCACAAATACATGGAGGTTAAATAACGTGCTACTAAACAATGAATGGGTCAACCAAGAAATCCCAGAGGAAATCAAAACATACATAAAGACAAATGAAAATGGAAACACAATGGTCAAAAATCTTTGGGATGCAGCAAAAGCAGTCCTAAGAGAGAAGTTTTTAGCAACACAGGCTGACCTCAAGAAGCAAGAAAAATCTCAAATAACCTAACCTTTCACCTAAAGGAGCTAGAAAAAGAACAAACAAAACGCTAAACAAGAAAAGGAAATAAAGATTAGAGCAAAAATAAATAATAGAAACTACAAATAAACAATAGAACAGATAAACAAAAGTGATCAACCTCTAGCCAGGAGAGAGAGAGAGAGAGAGAGAGAGAGAGAGAAGGGAGGGAGAGGGAGAAAGGACTCAAACAAAATCACAAAAGAAAGAGAAGTAACAACAAACACCACAGAAATAGAAACAACTCTAAGAGAATATTATGAAAAACTATATACCAACAAATTGGACAACCTAGAAAACAATGGATAAATTCCTAGAAACATATAACCTCTCAAAACTGAATCAGAAAGAAACAGAACATTTAAACAGACCGATTACCAGCAATGAAATTGAATCAGTAATCAAAAACTCTCAACAAACAATTTTCTAGGACCAGATAGCTTCACAGGTGAATTCTACCAAACATTTAAAGAAGAGTTCATGGGAGATCCAACATGGCAGAGAAGTAGGGGGATCCGCAGTTCCCTTGTCCCTCAAACACACCAGTGTTGAGGCTAAAGGACTTTGAATTCCAAGAGTCCGGGCTGCAGAGTGACAGAGACATCTCCAGGGGCCCCCGGGGACAACCTGGTGGGCCATAGGTGTATGATTGTGAACTGGGAGAGATAAAACAGGTGGCATAGGCACAGGTGGGAGGGATTCCCTTCTGCAGAGAGACAAAGAGAAAGAGAGGCTGGGGAAGTATAGGACTGTATCTGAACTAGAGAAAACCCACGGACTGGGATGGACAAAGATCCAATCTCTAACTGCGGGGCTTTCTCGGGACTGGGTCCGGCTGCCCTGTTCGTGCGCCTTGGGAGGAGGGGAGCCAGCCCCGGGTTTGATACCTAGGTCAAGGGCATAGTCTGCAGGGAGAGAAAGCGGTCCTCTACCTGGAGTGCTGTGGGAAGAAGGTATATAACCATTCAAAGGACAAGGACTGCCTGTGTCCACCAGCCAGAGGTCATATATCGGCAGCACAGAGGGGCTTTTCCCTGAAACCAGGGTGTACAGAACGGGACCCTTTAAGACATTGGGGTTTACATCCCAGCTGAGCGCCAGGGAGGTGTGGGCGTCAGCAGAGAGGGACAAACCACCTCGTTTGCGACTGCAGCACAGTGAGAACGACCTGAACAGAGTGGTTTGGGACACCCGGTCCATGGAGGAGAGACTGGGGTGTCACCATTTTTCTCCCAATCACCAATAAGGTGGGACCTCAGGGAACTGACCGCGGGGCCACAGGGGAGGCAGGACCCGCCCACACCAAGCCACACCCCTCCACACCTGCTAACTGCGGATCTACTGGGGCGGATTGACTGGGATGAACAAAATGCCTCCTCCAGACCAGCGCTGCCACTGCTTCCAAGGCCCCTAGCGGTTTTGCATTTCCTGATTTAATTCTTGGAC